CCCAGCCCTGTCCCCGCCATCCCCGCTTCCTGTGCTGGGCTCCGGGGGCGGAGACTGCGGGCTGGGAGCTACGCAGAGCCGCCGCGGCCTGGACTAGAGGGGACGCTGGGTGTGGGGTGACCTCCGGGCGGGGACCGCGGGCCCGGGTGCCTTTCCGGACACCTCAGGGTGGGCGCGAGGGTCCCTTCCTTCAGTCGGCGGCCCACGTGCGGTGCGCGTCTTTGGTTCCGGATCTGGGAGCTTCACGTGATGCGTGCTGGCCTGACAGTCCTCCCTGAGAGTGCCAGGCCGGGCACGGCTTGCAAGCCCCGGTGACCCCACTCTTGTGGGCCCTCCTGTGGTGGCTGGAGAGAGGACCGGGGACCTGGAGTGACGGTGGTGCGGGGGCTGAACTCCAGTATCCCTCGGGAAGACCTGTAGCTCCCATCTCCCGGAAACCCAGATTGGAGAAAAACCGTATCTATCATGTGCTGTTTTGCATGTAGGCATGGTAGGAACAGAACGACTTTTTAACCGTAGTTACATGCAAATTTAGTTTTTGTTTTTGTTTTTAAAGTACCCGGTGGCCCAGTTCACTGTGTAGCCAGTATAGAGTGATAATACACTTGGAAAAATCTTGTGTTTGAAAAGTTTATTAAGACATTATGACTAAATGTTGAATTGAATTGGGGCGGGAAAAGACGATTTTGGAGGAAACGAGCAAGGATGACATTACGATAGCACACTGACCCGAGCTAATTAACTAATAAGAACATTACTGTGGTTTTAGTCCTAAAGTACATCCAGAAAAGCGAAATTCCAGAACTATCAGAGGTTTGAGTCTTATGTATGTGGTTTCTGCACATTTCTGCATTTATTTTAGACTTTCTATGCAGCCCCAGCTGGCCTGGTACTCATTATGCAACCTAGACTGGCCTCAGATTTACCGAACTATTCCTGGACTCACCCTCTTTAGAGCTGGGATAAAGGGAGTACCCCACCACACCTAGCTAGTTAAATTTTCTTGATGAAATATGTTTTAACATTAAGACTAAAAAAAAGTAAATCTAGTTTTATTTTTCAGTTCTCAATATTTTCCAATATTGAGAAAATGGAAAACTGACCAACTCGTGGAAACGTAAGACTCATATTTTTTATTTAAAAAAAAAAAGCCCTTTTTTGAAATTTTAAGAGTGAGATTTCATGGACTGGCAATTATGGAAGAAAGAAATATCTAAGAGGAAAATGAATGGTTTAGAAAAACATGAGCAGTGAGGATTTCTTGGTTGGTGCTAAGCTGCCCTGGAGTTCTTCTTGGATATGTAAGTTTCAGGAATATAGTCCTAGATACTTCTTTCGACAAACAACAGTGATGATTATTTCTCCAACAGTTAGGTAGCTGAGTTGCTATGGACCTGAGTAGGTTGCCTGCTTTGGGCATGTTGTAGCTAGCAAAGTGCACATTTAAACTAATGGCTCACAAGGACTTGGTGCAGATTTGGGTGAATTAATACCCAGGTCTCAGCAAGGACCCAAACAAGAGCAGCTCAGAGTGTCTTAAATGATAGGAGTCATTGCAGAGTCTACACTGGGGTGACCACACAGCTGTTACCTTACCTAGTGTCTATCTTTCCTTTGTACTTCTCGTGAAGAGTAGATTGGACAAACCACCTTTTGTTCAGACCAAGTAAGGGAAAGGGAAAATATGTAAAGAAATTTCGACATAGTGTTTTTTTTTTTTTTTTTTCCCAGATTCATACTACTTACCTCAGGATCACAGTAATCCTTCTGCTGAAGTCTGTCATATACTGGGATTACAAACAAGCATGTGTCCCCATACCTGGGTCCCAGTAAGGCTTAATGCAGCATAGACATCGGGTCCCCAAAGGAAGCAGTTACTGGGGAAAAAAAAGTAAAGAGATAGTATTTGGGCCAATGCAATAGGTGCATTCTTTGGTAGTAATTCACTTAGTTATAAGAAGTGGAAATTGGTTGTGCCTACTTGGTAGAAATCTTATTTGCATAGCTTGCACACAGCCCTGGACTCAGTCGTTAGTGCCGCATAAGCCGGGCATGGCAGCACATATCTGTAAACCCAGCACTGAGGAGGTGAGGGCAGGAAAATGGTAAGTTCAGGGTCACCCTGGGCCTTGCGGGGCTATAGGGAGTTCATGGAGGAAATAAAGGAATACTTGGGGGTTCTGAGGATGTAGCCTGGTGTTAGAGCATCTGCTTCGCATGAATGAGGCCCTATGTTTGGAAAACAATAAAAAAAATATCAGACTTGTAAGAAGATAAAAAATGGGACTGATGAGTGGGTTGAAACTGATTCAGAAACAACACAGAAATAGCTAGAAATAGCAAAGAGAAAGCTTTCCTGCTACATGTTCAAAAGTTTGAAGTTGACCCAACTGAATGTGTCAGATGTCGAGTTGGGAACAAGTCAAGGAGAAGGTGCAGGTTAGTTGTAATAGGCACGGTGGGTGGGGAAGAACAAGTAGGAGTGCTGCTGAGATCAAATGGGGTTTCCTGAGAGCTCAGAGCATGAGGATGAGGAATAGTGACAGGTAAGCTGGAAAAGTAGAGCAGTGTTCTTCCGTGGCACGTCTAGCCTGGTGAAGAGTTAGAGCTCCGTCCCGAGAGGAATGGGAAGATGCAGGCTTTGTGAGGATAAACATAAACTTGTGACAGCAGTGAGGAAAATTCCTAAGGCCAGGATACCGAAAGGCTAAGAGAAATGCTGAGAGTCTGGGTTAAGACACAGTAGGATGGATGGTAGACATGCTACACAGGCATTCATATGACGAACAGGGTAGTTAACACAGGTTACTAGAGGACTGGGATGTATTGCAAAGACAGCACTGGTCTAACGTGGAAGGCTTAGTTCCATCCCCAATACCACAAATTAACTAACTAGTTAAGTAATAATAAAATCCCAGACCCCAGAAGACAGAATTGGGGAGATCTTGGGCTCAAGACTAGCCTTTGCTACATTTTGAGATCCTTTCTCCAAAAGGGAAACAAAAAATTTGGTAGAGGTCAGACATAGTAGTGCCCATCTTTAATCCCAGCACTTGGGGGGCAGAAGCAGGTGGGTCCTTGTGAGTTCAAAGCAATTGTGGTCTACATAGTGAGTTTCAGACAAACAGGGTTGTCTCAAAATTTTTTTAGTATAAAAATGACTCACGGTGGGTGGTGGTGGTGGTGGCCTACACGTTTAATTCCAGCACTTGGGTAGCAGAGGCAGGCAGATCCCTGAGTTGGAGGCCAGCCTAGTCTACAGAGTTCTGGGACAGCTAGGGCCACAAAGAAACTAAAACAAAACAGAAAAAGGCTCACACGTTGATTGCTAAGTCAGTGCCATCCTTAGTGATGTACAAAGTAGTTCTTATGTAGTAACCCATTTATTCTTCCTAACCAAAACTGGGCACAGGTGCTATTATTTCTGTCTTTTTTTAAGAGGAGGAAACTGAGGCTGGAGAGGTTACTTGTTGGGTAAAAGTGCATATAGTTTTGCAGAGGACCCAGGTTCGATTCCCAACACCCACATCCCCCACCTGGCAACGTTCTCTAACTCCAGCTCAAAGGGTTCTGACACCCTCTTCTGGCCTCATTGGGCACCTACATGCATGTGGTACACAGAAAATTAAAAAAAAAAAAAAAAAAAAAGTCTTAAAAAGAAACAAACAAAGACGAGGAAATAGGATTAGAGACGTGAAGTAACTTACAGCCAGTAAGCAATAAGACTTGAACTTTGTCTCAGTTTAACTTGAGAACCCTCCCAGAGCCACAACTCTTAATACCTCTGGCTAGAGTTGGCGCTGCCTCCAATGTTGTTACTGCTTCTCCTGATGAGCGATTGATGCCCTTGAGTGAGTTGTGGAAGCCTGCAAAGATACATATGGAACATACATTGATTCATGCACCATTGTTTGCTGTGTGTGTCCCCAAGACAGACAAGTAAGAGGTGGGGAATTGATAGTCTAGTAGGAAAGTTGGATAAATAGGAAGGCCTTGGAAAAAAATAAACAACCATGATCCAGAACCAGTCATTGTGGCCAACACTTCTAATGCCAGCACTCAGGAGGCACAGTCAGGCAGATCCCTTTGTCAAGGACAGCCTGGTCTACAGAGTGAGTTCCAAGACAGCCAGAGCTACATAGAGAAACCCTGTCTTGAAAAACCTAAAGAGAGAGAGAGAGAGAGAGAGAGAGAGAGAGAGAGAGAGAGAGAGAGAGAGAGAGAAATAGCAACACGACCCAGGAAGCCTTGTGTATAACTGTGTTTCTGCCTCACAGGGTTCCTTGGATATTCTTCAAAGTACGGATGATGACCCACTCCTGGACACCCAGCCTCTCCCACAGCACTCCTTACATGCCCACTTTAGACCCAGATTCTATCCTCTTCCCACGGTCATCATAGCGAATCTTCTGTTGCTTATACATGTGAGTTCACTACAGAGCTGGTGGTCCTAAAAGCACAGTGTGGAGGGCGGGAGGTGGCCCAGTCATGTTCAGGACCTGGGTTCCACCAAAACATGGGTGTGGAGGACCTTCCTCCCAACAATGGGGAAGTGGAGACAGGAGGATCTCTGGAACTCTCTGATCAGCCCGAGACTCTCCTGAGAGACTCCATCTCCAAATCAAAACAGTAAAGTAGACATCCCCCAAAGACCAGCACCTGCATTGTCCTCTGACCCCTCAGGTGCACGCACAAAGCTTTTGGGGGACATTTGTGCTATATCTATCAGTTTTTAAAATGTATTTATTTTTGCACAAATTTTTGTGCTCATGCTTCCAAGAATTATTGTAGAGACATTCCTTGTGGCTGTGTGATTGTCATACTAAGAGATCATGAAGTCACTCGTATCCTGAGTACTGCTGTTTCTCCTCCTGCATTCCAGGTTAGCTGCTCCATGAATAGAAACACTGCCTCCAAACAGAGAGAATCCACTCTGGAAAAATTGTCCTCTGGTGTCCACATTCATGCTTTAACAAAGCGTGCATACACACAAACACAGTAAATACATAAGTAAAGCCAGGCTTGGTAGTACATATCTATAATTCCAGCTCTTGGAAGGCAGAGGCAGGCAATCTTTGTGGGTTCAAAGCCAGCCTGAGACACCAAGTTCAGGTCAGTCAGGGCTGAATAGTGAGACCCTGTCTCAGAAAAACAAACATGCCTGTAATGTTGATAATTAGCAGGCAGACGGAGAAGATCAAAGTTAGAAGTCAATCTGGACTGCATAGTAAGACCTTCACTTCTTGTTAAATTCATGTGCTAATTCATTCATTAGCATATATGCAGATCCGTGCTCATTTTAATTAATATATATTTAATTTTAATACTCTATCCCTCCTTTTCTAAGGATCCCATTTATTAGACCTCACTAGAAGGTGGACTATGCCCCAAGAGACCAGCTCCAGGGGACTAGTGTGGTTCAAGAGTGGACCCTTCTAGCAAGCTCTGAGTTCTGCTGACTGATGTCCCATGTCACCTCTGAGAACCACTGCTTCACAGCTTCCTCATTTTACTGTGTTATGGCCCTCTGTCCAAATCAGTAGAGGCTAGCTCATGGACCAGTGGGTGAGAATGTCTTCAAGTATTTGCACAAACACGTAGAATGCTTTTTTTGCTTTTGTTAAAGTCAAGGCCTCAGTATGTAGAGCTCACAGATCTACTTGCTTCTGCACATAATTTTATTAGTTTTTAAATTTTTTTTTTATTTTTAATTATGTGAGGAGGGGGAATGCAGGTGTTCTTGGAGGCCTGAAGAGCGTATCTGATTGCCTGGGGCTTGACATGGGTGCTGGGACTGAACCCAGTCCTCTGCCAGAACAGTTTGCACTCTTAGCTGCTGAGCCATCTCTCCAATCATTATTAATTGCTTTTGAGATAATCAACTCTTTTTATACCTTTTTGTTTTTAATAAAAGAGAAAGGCATAAAATGTCAACATTAAGTGGCTATCTTTTTAAGTGGGATTTAGGGTGACTTTATTTTCTTACTTGTGATTTTGTCTGAGTACTTGCATTTTTCTTTTTCAAATTTGATGTGTGATCTCCCTATATAGCCCAGGCTGACCTAGGATTTTCCATCCTCCTGATGACAGGCATATGACTCTGCCCACTCCCATGGTTTTCCAGAATGTTTTTGGCAAGAAGTTTTAAAATCAAGTAGGGTAGCCTAAGTCATAGAGCCTTTTGAGAAATGGTAGTTTCTGTTTCCTAAACCCATACGTTTATGATAATTTTGTTATTGAATTGATGTGTGAGTGTGCATGCTCACTCCTGGTGTGAATGCAGGTATGTGTGTCCGAAAACACAGAAGTCAGGACAACTTCAAGAGTCAGTGTTCTTCTACCATGCAGATCCTGGGAGTCAAACTCAGGTTGTCCGTCCTGATGACAAGTGTCTTTACCCACTGAGCCATCTCACTGGCCCTGGCTGCAACCTACGTATTTACTGTGGATCCTACTGCTTTTCTTTCCACAGGTTGTATTTGTTATTTTAGCATTTTTAACAGGTGTGCTGTGTTTGTACCCTAATCCAAATGAAGACAAGTGCCCAGAAAAGTACACCAACCCACTGAAAGTTCAGACAGTCATAATCCTCGGAAAAATTGTCCTGTGGATTCTGCATTTGCTTCTTGAACGCTACATTCAGTATCACCACAGCAAAGTCAGAAGCCGAGGCTATTCCCAGATCTACCGGTCTACAAGGCATCTCAAAACACTCGCCCTCATGATCCACTCTTCTGGTAAGCCCTGTACCTCTCAGCTGCTCTTCCTCTTGAGTGCCAAAGGTGATTAAAAAAAAAAAAAAGACATATGAAATTAGATTTTATAATCAAATATGTTCTCTCTTTTTTTTAAATTTATTTAACTTATTTATTATATTTGCATTGGTGTGAAAGTGTCAGATCCCCTGGAACTGGAGTTACAGACAGTTG